GATCGCCCAGTCGGTGGCCTTATCCTCGATCTCCTCTGACTGGATCCGCATTTCTTCAGTCAGGGAAGCAATTTTTCCCCGACTCTCCTGCAGTTCGGCCTCGAGAGCTAGCCTTTCCTTTTCGGAGGCCTCCCTTTCTTGTTCTGCTCGCTGAGCTCGTATTAAGGTTGTCTGGAGCTCCTGGTCCTTCTCTTCGACCTCCTTGGAGAGCCTAGCAGTTGTCCTCTAAAGCTCTTTTACTTCCTCCAAACGCCATTCAAGCTGTGTCTTTTGGAAGTCAACTGTTCACATAGCGGCCTCCTTTTGGTTCAAGTATCTGTTCGCCGCCTCAAACGATTGCGTTCTTTCCACTTTGATGGTCTCCAGGCTCTGTTTGAGCTTCGTGATCTCCTCTTTCAGATCATTTACACCCTTTGCGGCCCCCAGTCGAGCTTTCTCCATGGACATCCTCATGGCAAGCAAAGCCTGCGAACAAGAAGTGAGAGAATGAAAATGGCGGACTAACTTTAAGAACAATTTGTTTACCTTGCTTAGATACTGGAACGACGTGGTCATCAGGTCATCGCCTGTATCGACGTACTCATCATATGACTCCGATAGCCCACACTCAAGTAGAGAGTAGACTATTGGCTGCAGGTATTCAGGCAGGTTCCCCAACGAATCCAACACTGGTGTGTCTTTTGCCTTGTCGACAACAACCGTCTCGTCCACAGATTCCTTGCCCTACCTCCTTCTGATGTCCTGCCGCGACCTTAGTGGTTCTTCCTCATATTCGGTCTCTGACTCATTGACCTGAATCTGCTTCCTCTTCTTTGACCGCTGGGCCGGAGCCTTCCGCCTCGGGCGAGCAGGTGGTGGCTGAGGGACCGTTCTGTCCTGGTCGTTTCTTGCTCAGGATAGGACTGGGAAGGCGCGGCAGTTCGCACCGGTTGTACCGCTGTGGGGCGAGCAGCTTCGGTCGCCCTTTCTTTCCTCGATCGAGGGAAGTTGAATGGTGCTCGCCGGGGCTGCTCGGACTCTTCGGAGGCATGGTCGCTACATGCAGGTGCGTTAGTAACTAAGCAAAAATTATTCCACGACCAGAAAGGAATCAGTGTGCAACTTACATTCTGGGGACTCTAAAGACGCCTGGTCGCTGAAAAAACCGTACTTTTGCAAGTTCACGATCGTCACGAGCTTCCTCGCGTCCCGGCTTTCTTCAGGGAGAACCCCAAAAGACACGATCCTGTCCGGCTCGGTGAGCAGGTCCAGGCTGGTCATCTTATTAACTGCAAAAGAATGCAGGTCGTTAGAAAAAGCGAGCGTACAGTTAATGAATCTAGCGAAGAGGGACCTACTTGGTTTCTAAAAGCGGCAGTAGCCGTCATAGCAAAAGAAGAAGAACTTCGTCTCGTAGGCCCCCACATTGCTGGGATAGCTATGTATCCATTCGGCGATGGTAGATCGCTGAGACAAGTAATATGAGTCTTTGTCCTTACTCCTTTTGAGGTAATATGAACAGCCGAGCTCCACCGCTGTTAGCTCGCCCACGCCGCTCTCACGGCATGCGATGTACATCGCAACAGCGATGACATACGCATTTGGCATTAATTGCATTGGTGCGATCCCGAAGTGATCCAAGACCGACCTAATAAAAGGGTGGAGAGGAATCATCCCCCCACCTTTGAAGATCTCTTCGGAGATCGCAGCCAGGCCATCAGAAGGATGCCGCGATGACCGGGTGGCGTCGAGGAACACCTCCGCGCAGACGCCGAATTGTCTCTTTATCCTCTTGAATTCTTCTTGGGTGAGAACCGAGAAGACCTCAAGGGATTCGTCCACGGGAAGATCCCGCGAAGACGAACCGGTCTTTCTTCGGATCTGGACGCTGAGGGTTCCATTCCGCAGTCTGCAACACCGACAGACAGAAGGTCATTTTAGCCATCGTATGTCACCCCGTACGGCAGCTTGGAGCAAATTCCCTAAAACCTAACAGTGATTCGAGCCGCCATTCACGGTAGGAACCCGACTCCATCGTCGCGCCTCTGATGAAACATTAGATGACGCAACGCCATTGTACCACAAAAAAAAAAAAAAAAAAAAGGGGAACAAAAAACCCTTACCTTTTGGGGGACGTGACCGTGTACGGTTCTTGCTTCAGGTATCGGAGAGATGTCAATCGGAAAAGAAAGGCTTCCGGTTTGTAGAGAGTTTTCGCTCAAGGCAAATGCGATTCTGGTGGCCTCATCTGGAAAATCTGGGTTTTTATATGGACTACGAATCGACGTTTACCGCCCCTTGGAATCAAAACGATGTTTCTCTCTCTCTCCGCATTAAATGCACCCCACGCCGCATTTATTGCTATGATGAGGGTTCTCATTTCGGGCATGTCATGCAATTAATGCTCTGCCAAAGCAGTAACGCGTCAGCACACAACACATTTAATGTGCCTAGCAGACGCCTGACACGCGCAGAGCGCCTGTCAGCGCAGAAACGACCTCATTAAATCTCCATCTCTAAGGCACAGTAAGGAACGCCCGATGAAGTCAGGACGCTTGGGCGATGGTTGTTAGGTCGTTCGGACGAGGTTTGCGCGAGGTCATGTTCGTAAAAGGTCCTATCCCGAGCTTCTTTCATTCAGGTGGGAATGGTCAGGGCCTCCAATCGCGGCATGACTTAGTTTCCAAGGTTTGATCCTCAAACCTTAAAAACTAGGGGACTTTTGTTATGCCTGGGAAATCAAGGGCTGACGTGGGAAATCACGTGATGGGGGGTGACCTACTCCCGTCAGAATGGTAAGCGCACGTCAGGCCTGCAAGACGCCGTGGAGCTCCAACGTGTCCATTCCCTGCTCCAAATCGCGTGAAATCAACTTGGAAGGTGGGCAATGTGACGTAAAGCCGGATTTAGTCCTGACATTCACACCAACCCACAGATTTAATGATGATTATCTGCACTCATCTCACTATAAAAAGGAAAAACCCCTTTATTGAGGGGATTCGGCCTTTTTACACTCTGAACTAGCTTTCTCTCTCTCTTGTATCTTCGTATTTACTTTTCCCTAATCATTTGTAAGTCAGTCTGCTGTTGCGACCTGACCCACGATTCTAATACAACTATCAGTGGACGTAGGATTTGCTACTTTAGCATCCGAACCACTTTAAAAAGCTCTCATTGTTGCATTTACTCTATATTTTATCCATAATCACGTGTGTCTCTTGACCAATCAACGTTACACACGTGTCGATTAGTTGGTGTCAAAAGCACGCATCAACACTATTAAAGCGGAAGCACCAATAAAAGATATAAAAAAATAAAACTAATTGAGCAATAATTTAAACTAGAGAGAACACATACATGATTTTATGAGGTTCGACAAGTGTGCCTATGTTCTCAGGTCGTGATGACCAATTCACTAATTTTGAGAGTTACAAAATTATTGGAAATTCACATACAAATTAAAACATTCACTCAAAACATTCAAGAGTAGTAAATTTTTGAAACCTTATTAGGCCTAATAATGAAATCAACACTTTTAGGCCTATTGCCTTAATGCAATTCCAATTGGGCTCACGCTTAAAGTCATTTTGTGTAAAAGACCATCTAATGGGATGACCCATCTTATAAGAAGATCCATGGCCGTTAACGGCCAGACCATAATGGATCTAACTGTTTCTGTTAAGATCCACTTTGAACTGGTTGTTTTTGGTCATAATGGATTTGGCTGTTTCTTTCTGGCTAGATCCATGGGGATCTGACCATTAACAGGCCGGCTATGGTCTTGGGTAATTTGTTGATTACAAGGGTAACAATGTCTTAAAAATCTTGTATATAAAGATAAAATAGTCCATTAATATTCTTGTAAATTGGTGGCAGAACAAGAGCATTAAATACTGTCCAAAAATTTTATTAGTTAGGGGTAAAATTGTAACAAAATTAAGATACCAAGTAATCTTAGAATACTTAAAAAAATGGTGGTATTTAGATTATCACTTATATAACTTACAGTAATTACTATTGGTATTAGAGGATTACGAGAATTTTTTATTACTTGACAACCAAACATGATAATGTTAATAATATAAAATAACATTATTTGAGTAATGGAGGATTACACCCAACCAAACGCACACTAAGAATCGTTATCAAAAAAATTTTACAGGTTGTCTAGCGGTATAGTTGGAAAGCTTTAACTTGATTTGTCCTACTAAGGCGTCTCATGGTAGAGCTAGAGAGCTTTAACTTGTTACAAATTTTACTACTAATAAATATTATATGGATTCTCGTACAATATTAATATAAGGAGGTCAAAATTATAAACAAATAAACTTTGACCGTTTTAGTTCTAGTAGTTGACAATGAAAAAGTATTTGTGTATGTTTTAAGTGATGCATGACAATTAAAAAAATGTAAAGCATATCATAAAAAGTCAAAAAAAAAGAAAAAAAAAAAAAGAGGCAATATTCAATGCATGGAGCATTAGTGAATTTATTAATCTCCTTTTTCGATAATTAAATGATTTTTTCATTGTTAACTTTGAAAAAAAATATTAAAAAAATTTGCTTATGGATAATTTGGAGAGAAACTTTTGACTGATTTTCAACAGTAAGTTACTAACATGTACTGTAACTAGTGCCCTATATTTCGGATGAAGCATGTTGCCTTCAACCATAATTCGTGGGTCAATAGTTAATTATTAACATGTGATGTAACTAGTGGTTGATGCAATTTGTTTCTTTGTAAAGAGAAAAATCTTCACTCTGATATTACTGAAATAAGTGAAGGAATTGAGAAGTTAATAAGTGAAGGAATTGTTTTTAACCAGTTCGTCAAGTAAATAAATTAATAAATTAAGAATCAATAACACGTTATGACTGAAATATATAAAATTTCAATGATAATGATTCTTAGCATTTTATTATAACCACGTACACTTGTTAACTTATAATCATACTTTATTATGTTCAAATTTTCAAGCTCTAGGAAAAAGAAAATTAATGCATTACAAAAACTATCTTCGAAATTTTATTTATGATAAAGAATATGATTTACAATTTTTAAAATCATAATTCTTTTAGACATATTTTGCATGCTTTTATTGTGAATAACCATACAGAAATAAGAAAAACCGAAAAGAAAGCAAAGTAAATTAATAAAAGGATCCCCTAAGCAATGTTAACGCTGCGGAGGACCAATGTCTCAATAGTAAGCCCAGGACCAAACCCGAAAAGCACTCCCCATTCCAACCCTTCTCCTGTGGTCTTCAACCCATCTTCAGTTGACTTCTTCCGTATCTCATCCAAAACAAACAACACAGTTACGCTTGACATATTACCATACTCAGCAAGCACGTGTCTAGTTGCACCTAACTTTTCAGGTTTAAGACCCAACTTGGCATCCACTTGGTTCAAAATCGCAGGCCCACCAGGATGTACAGCCCAAAAGATTGAGTTCCAATCTGTGATACCTAAAGGTTGGAATACCTCAAACAATTGCTTCTCAATGTGGTTTGAAATAAGGCTAGGAACTTCCTTCCCAATATGAAACGTAAGCCCATGCTCACGAATACTCGCACAAATAGCCCCAGCGCTATCAGGTACTATTGTTGGGATTGCAGAGATGAGTTCAAAGATGGGCTTTTCAACACCAGGAATCGGATTTGCACCAACTATGAGAGCTGCAGAGCCATCCCCAAATAAAGAATGACTCACAAGAACATCGACATTGGTTTCAGTAGGGCAATGGAAACCAACGAGAGTTATTTCAGTGCATACAATGAGGACACGAGCACCTTTATTGTTCTCAGCTAGGTCTTTAGCAATGCGAAGTATGGTGCCACCTCCATGACAACCTTGTTGGTACAACATGACTCGCTTAATAGATAGATCAAGGCCCAAGAGCTGGACAATTTGGAAGTCATACCCAGGAATGAATGGTCCCATAGTGCTACAACAAATTAAGTGAGTGAGTTTTGACTTGGATTGGCCCCATTCCTCAATGGCCTTGGTTGCAGCTTCCTTGCCTAACTCTGGTATCAATGTTGCTGCCATATCTTGCCTAGTATCCAGTGAAGGTGCCTTGTATGAATTAATGTTGGGATTTTCTTTTATAACATCTTCAGTTGAGTAAGTGTATCGCTTTTTAATCGTGGTTCTATCACCTGAAATCATTAAATTTGTATCTTTTTAGTCACAACTTAATGACATTCACAGCGGAAAGAAATATCAAAAGCAAACGATTTCATAGATGATAGCAAACTGAATCCTAAAAATCGTTCAATCCTAAAATACTGCTCAATATCTCAAACACAATTAAGACTTAGAAAATATTAAAAGCATGATAATCTAAAAAACAAAGTTAGAAAAGAGTAGCAATATCTTACATATGAGCTGCATTTTGTTTTTGAGATGGGTCAAGTGCTCGGCATTGGTCATACGAAAGTAAGCGTCTGGATATGTGCTTTGATCATAGACATTTGGAGGATTTGCTGTTGCAATTGCCATGATTGTGGCAGTGCCATCAGCACGTTGAGCATTTCGAAGTTCATCCACATTAACCATTTTTGCTCCAATGAATATAATGCAACTTCTATTTCTCTGAGTCTTGGCTAGTGTGTTGTGTCTTTGTGATCGGGGATCCATTTATTTATAAATACTGATTAAGTATTAAAATATTGTTCATGTATCATGATGTTACTTAATAATGGTATTGGAAATCATCATGGATGATCTGTACCCAAATAGAAAATATGCGTTAACGTGTACAACAAAATTTGAAGAGACTGTTAGCTAGGTTATTCTAGTTCACGTCAAAGATTCTGGCATGCACAGATGACAGAATATTTTTTTGAATAATTCATCTTTAAGGTTTCTTATTTTAGTACACGAACAAAGAGATCTACACTCTTAGTTTCATCATTTGACCAAGAAATAATAATAGTAACAATTTGAATTCATTCTATTCCATTTCTAGTTATTTAATTTATAACTATGAAATTTATATGCCTTTTTTTATTTTTTTTTTCTTTTGTATGACAATCTAAGGTATTGACATGAATTTGTCAGCTAGCTCAAAATAGAGACTAGATCTAGATGGAGATTGAGATGGGTGAATTTTTAAATAAAAATGGTGACGATTGAAAGTTGATTTGTAGTCTTTTTTTATTGTGATCGATTTAGCTCTAAGCGGCCTTATTATTGAAGGAATTGAGTTCCCTGAAAATGCTAGATGAGATAAAATTGTATATTTAAAGGAGACATATAGGAGAGGGAGCTCCAGATGCTCAAACTCTAGGAATGACTAACGACGGTAAATGCCAGTCAAAGTATTGTTGCCTAACAAAAGAGGCTCGTCTATAGGAGCATGTAAAGTCTTTGTTCTTTGGCAAAGGTACTGTCATGTAATGTTTATGTTGATGCATGCTTTTGACACTAATAAACTCGCAAGTGTAAAGTGTTAAGTATGTCTTAAAAATTACACGTGATTGAATTTGTGAGTTACGATAAGGAAACAAACACATTTGAATGCAAAGACTTAATAATAAATAAGACAGAAGATTTTTATTGTGGTTCGGATGTTTAAAGCGATTTTTATATCCACTGTTTCTTTTATGTAAATGTGTTACAAGAGATTCAGTTACTGTATTCAGAGAGAATATTAAGTTAGTCTGTTTCTCATAGGTTGTTTTTGCTATTGAATATTATGAAAATTAGAGAATGATTGATCGATCCCGAATTTGTGAGGGGGAGTCTTTTATTTATAGCTGCTGAATTCAAGGTCATGATTACAAGTCTGCAAGTGGGTAGGTACCATGCAAGTCCTTCCTTACCTCCTATTGGTTGATAACTAAGGAAATATCCTCAAATTATTTGGGGCTTGGACAGGTGTGCGGTCCCTATTTACTTGAAGACAAAATCTGAATCTGTTGGGTTGGTGATAGCCGTATCTCATCTGTCTTGGGGTGACGTGACAGCTTCTGGACGACACAAAGCCTTCCTGAACTCTTATTGGTGCTGCTGACATCAGCTTATGTCAGTCTTTATTTTTTAGGCATAACAATTTATAACTTGAGCGTCAAGTAGCACATGCTAATGCCTAATGGTGGAAATTAATGTAATTCTAGATTATCCGGGACTAGGATTCTTCAGAATTCTAGTATGATATATTTTCCTTTTTATGTAAAAGTTTTTATTTCTTTTTATCACTTCTACAATTGATTACTTTTATCTTTTAAGTTTTGTAGAAAATCTAGAATTTAATTCTCTCTTAGTATTATAATAAAAAGATACAACGTATTAGTATTTTAAACCAAGCAAATAAAAAATAAAAGAAAGCAGACTTGAACTAAAAACTCTGTTTTTTCTCTTCTGTAGTTTTGCAGCAATGAAATACTTTTCTGCCTTTTACAGATTTTCTTAATTTATTCAACAAAAATGGTACTGGAATTGGAGCAGTTTTTCAAGAACTGGGATGAAGCATGTTAGCGCTTAATATTCCACAATTCATGGGTCAATATATTGACAATTTAATAGCGTCAGCGTCACTATACAAGAACTCGATTAGCTCTATCCATAATTCATGGGTCAATAAGTATTAACATGTGCTGTAACTAGTGGTTGACACAATTTGTTTCTTTTGTAAAAGGAAAAATCTTCACTCTCAGATTACATGTGTATTAATTCAGAAGTTACTAATAATATTCTTCATAAATGAAGGAATTGTTTTTAACCAATTTGCCAAGTTAATAAATTAACAAATTAAGAATCAATAATACGTTATTACTAAAATATATATGATGGATGTTCTTAGCACTCCATAGTTTCCACTTTCCGAAGAATTCAAAATATAATATAGATAAAATCTTAAAAAGATATGCTTGACAAAAACGTGACCATGAAAACTATGAACAAATCAATGAAGCTTAAATATCATTAGTCATTAATTTGGTCTAGTTAAATAATTTAATTAGACGTAAGCATGTTTGGAGAATAGGTAAACTAGTATATAGTAAATCATATTAACTAGATCACGGAAAACTTACACTGAATTTTAATAATGGATTAAAAGATTATTTAAAAACCTTAGTCCGATTCCGGCCAAAAGTGATCTGGCTGTTTCTTTCTAGCCAATCCATGAGGATCTGGTCGTTAACCCATGGATCTGTCGAAAACGCCCAATCGACGCACGGTCGGCCAAATTCGATCGTCATGCATTGTTCCAACGACGTCAGCCAGCGGTGGTGGCCATATCTGGCTGTGGTCTTGGGTAATTTGGTCGAAGTATAAGGTATTATGTCTTAAAATCTTATTATAAGGATAAATATTTCATGATATTTTTGTAAATTCTGGTAGAACTAAGCATTAATGTCCAAAAAAATTATTAGTTAAGTGTAAATTGTACAAAATTAAGATTACCAATAATCTTAGAATACCTAAAAAAATGGTAGTATTAGATTACCACTCTACACCTAAAATAATTACTAGTGTCATGAATGATTACTAGAATCTTTTTATTATTTGACAACCAACATGATAATTCAGTAATAAATGAACATTGCTGGAGTAATAAAGGATTATCCCCAACCAAACACACCCTAAGAATCTATCATAAAATTTGTATAGATTGTCTAGCGGTATATTTGGAAAGCTTTAACTTGATTTGTCCTACAAGGTGTCTCATGGTAGACCTAGAAGATTTAACTTATAAAAAATTTACTAATATAAATAATAAATGGATTCTCATATAATATTAGATAAGGAGGTCAAATTATAGCAAATAAACTTTGACATTTTAGTTCTAGCAGTTGACAATGAAAAGTATTTGTGTATTTTTGAGTGACACATGACATTAAAAAAAAAAAAAAAAAAAAAAAAAAAAAAAAAAATTAAAGCGTAAGCATATCAAAAAGTAAAAAAAGGCAATATTCCATGCATGGAGATTAGTGATTTATTATCTCCTTTTTCGATAATTAAATGATTTTTTCATTGTTAACTTTGAAAAAAATATTAAAAAATTTGCTTATGATAATTTGGAGGAAACTTTGACTGATTTCTCTCTATTAATGAGGAAAAAGATTTTAAATGTAGTTAACAGTGCTGTAACTAGTGGCCTATATTTCGGATGAAGCATGTTTGCTTAATCCACAATTCATGGGTCAATAGTTATTAACATTTAACATGGTTGATGCAATTTGTTTCTTTTGTCAAAAGAAAAATCTTCACTCTGACATTACTGCGTATTAATTGAGAGATAATAAATGAAGGAATTGTTTTTAACCAATTACAAAGTTAATAATTAATAAATTAGAATCAGTAACACGTTATTACGAAATATAAAATTTCATGATGATGATTCTTACTATTTTATTATAACCACATACCTTGTTAACTTTAATCATACTTTATTATGTTCAAATTTTCAAGCTCCAGGAATAGAAAATTAATGCATTACAAAATTATTTCACATTTTATTTATGATAAGAATATGATTTACAATTTTTCAAATCATATTCTTTTAGACTATTTTGCATGTTTTTATTGTGAATAACATACATAAATAAAAAACTGAAAAGAAAGAAAGTAAACAATAAAAGGATCCCCTAAGCAATGTTACGCTGTAGAGGACCAATGTCTCAATAGTAAGCCCAGGACCAAACCCGAAAAGCACTCCCCATTCCAACCCTTCTCTGGTGGTCTTCAACCCATCTTCAGTTGACTTCTTCCGTATCTCATCCAAAACAAAAACACAAAAATAATTCCTTTAGACATATTTGTGCATCATTTATGTGAAAACCATCAAAAATTAAAAAAACCGAAAGAAAGCAAGTAAATCAATAAAAGGATCCCCTAAGCAATGCTAACGCTGCGGAGGACCAATGTCTCAATAGTAAGCCCAGGACCAAACCCGAAAAGCACTCCCCATTCCAACCCTTCTCCTGTGGTCTTCAACCCATCTTCAGTTGACTTCTTCCGTATCTCATCCAGAACAAACACACAGTTACCTTGACATATACCATACTCAGCAAGCACGTGTCAGTTGCACCTAACTTTTCAGGTTTAGACCCAACTTGGCATCCACTTGGTTCAAATCGCAGGCCCCCAGGATGTACAGCCCAAAAGATTGAGTTCCAATCTGTGATACCTAAAGGTTGGAATACCTCAATCAATTGCTTCTCATATGGTTTGAAATGAGGCCAGGAACTTCCTTCCCAATATGAAACGTAAGCCCATGCTCACGAATACTTCACAAATAGCCCCAGCCTATCAGCACTATTGTTGGGTTGCAGAGATGAGTTCAAAGATGGGCTTTTCAACATCAGGAATCGGATTTGCACCAACTATGAGAGCTGCAGAGCCATCCCCAAATAAAGAATGACTCACAAGAACATCAACATTGGTTTCAGTAGGGCAATGGAACCACGAGAGTTATTCTGTGCTACATGAGGACACGAGCACCTTTATTGTCTCAGCTAGGTCTTTAGCAATGCGAAGTATGGTGCCACCTCCATGACAACCTTGTTGGTACAACATGACTCGCTTAATAGATAGATCAAGCCCAAGAGCTGGACAATTTGGAAGTCATACCCAGGAATGAAGTGTCCCAT